TCTCTTACATCTCCTGCATTGGCAGAAGGGTTCTTTACCAGTAGCACCTAGGTTACTTAAAATACCTAATACCCGATAAATGCTATACAAATTGTTGTAAATACAATGTAAATGACATGTAAATAGTTGCCAGCATGCAACAAATTCAAGTTTTGTTTGGGAGACTTTCTGGATTTTTAAAAATAATTTCAATCCCTTATTGGTTGAATCCATGGATGAAAAACCCATGGATAAGAAGGACTGACTCTATGTTTTATGTAATCTTGTTTGATTATAGATAAATCAAGAGTCAGTCTTTGGAATTCAGGTTAGAGCTGGAAGGGGCTTACGGATACCTGTTATTTTAAAAATAAGATTGAAATCAATAATGTACAGGACTGTTCAAGCAGTTAAATAAGAACAGAGACTTCAGCTGCTTTTCTCAACCTTGCTTATATGTCTGGAATCATTTGGGAGCTCTAAAAAATGCTGAAAACTGAATCCCACCCTTAGACATTTTGAATCTGTGGTTTATCTGGTGTGGAGTGCAGTCTGATTGGGCTTCCCAAAGGGCACTAGTGGTAAAGAACCCTCCTGCCAAGCAGGAGACCTGGGTTTGATCCCTGGGTTGGGAAGATTCCCTGGAGGAGGGCATGGCAATCCACTCAGTATTCTTGCCTGGAGAATCCCCTGGACAGAGGAGTTTGGCAGGCTACAGTCTATAGGGTTGCAAAGAATCGGACACGACTGAAGCAGCTTAGCATGCACGCAGTCTGATCGTGAGAGTTTTTAAATCTCCGCTAGGTGATTCTAATAAGAGGCTACCAGGCCGGAGGGTAGCTCACCTGACTTCTAGTTCAGTTTCTTTTGAATTTTCACTATTTAATGTTAATAATGATGAATAAGTATTGTTTATTAATGGATCACAGAGAGATCATCATTTTCTAAGTTACCTTGCCTGTGCAATCCATGCCCTCTTTTCAAAAAGTTTTCTCTGGCCTATATGATCCATGGAGTGCACAGAAGGCCATTTGGCTATCTCTAGTCACTCTCCACCCACAGGATCACAACTCATACAGAGAGATGTGAACACCAACTCAAGGACATCCAGCCATTATCTGATAAGCTACAAATCTGAATCTCTCACTCAAGAATTTGAACAAGATACAGAGTTTGAGCAAGACAGGTGATGGAGGGACCTAGAGAGGCTGAAGGGGCTCAGGGCTGGCAGTCATTTTTAACCAGGTGATCATGATGAGTAACAGAAAGCCTGTCTGCAGAGAATGATAGGAAAATGCAGCTATACACACACTGAGTCAAAGTAAACAGATGAAGACAAAGGCTGCTTGATGGATTTCTAGATTCATTAGTTCTAACTGCACTGCTTTCAGTCAGGTTACAAGCAATTTTATTATAGCCTTCAAATTATCCCCCTTTTGCATGGTCAGATTTCAATAGATTTCAATTCTTGACTTAGCCATGTGTGTGTGTGTGTGTGTGTGTGTGTGTGTGTGTGTGTGCATGCACAGATGCATTCCAACCCCATACCCATTTTAGAGGTGAAGAAACTGAGACTCAGAAGGACAATTTATCCCCTGATCACACAGTTAAATAGGGGTGCAGAGCCAAGATTTCAGCTCTGAACTCTTTAGTAACCACTGCTCTGAGTGCCTCCACTTTATCTGGCTGATTTACAACAAAAAGTGGAATTACAACTTGTACCAATAACACAACTGTAAGGCCCTCCTGTGAAATAAATTAAAGCCTCAATTATAATAGGAGGCATTATCCCTCTCCTTCCTGTATTCCAATTCCTTCATTTCTATAATTGGTCTTGCTCCTCCACACTCCCACCTACAAGCTCCAGTGAAGCACATGTGGTTTTACAATGATCTCTTCTGAGCCCATCCTACACTCTGCAGTAAGCTTTAAAATCATCATTTGATTCCACAACTAGCTAGTGAAAAACATTGCATTGATTGAAACACATTACTGGCCCTTGTCCAGAATTAAAACTAAGAAATGAATGCATTAATATTAATGCAGCATATCAAACTACCAAATCATTTTACAACATTAACAATTCTAGAACATCTCTGAGACAGAGAAAACTATATTACTCTTTGCCTTCCATACAGATGGTGGCCACGGCGCTCTGTGGGACTGAGATGAAAATGTTGAAGAGTAAAAATCTTCAGCACCAATACTACCCTATCATTATGGGCCATGAAGGAGCTGGAATAGTCGAGAGTGTGGGAGAAGGAGTGAGCACAGTGAAAGCAGGTATGAACTGGTACCTAGAATTAGGAAATAGCAGCAACTTGGAACCCACCTCAAGAATAAAAAGCATCCCTTAAATTATGTTAAGATTAAGCAAAATAAAAGGTAAAATATTGCCCATTTCTTAGAAAAGGAGGGTTAAGTATAAATTACAGAAAAATACTAAATGTATTCTTTATACTTATATTTTGATATTAATAAAAATAAAAAACAGAATGCACTGAAACTGAACCTGAAAGAAGGTGAAAATGAGACAAAAATTTCCCCAAAAAAATCAACTGAGAGAAACCATTGAACAACTGTTTAAATGAAGCTTGTGATAAATATGATAAATAGTTCAACCATGATAAACAGTTGAACACATTAGTGAACAAAATATGGAAGAAGTTCAGAACTGAATCAAATATATATAGGAATTTAATATAGGATTAAGTTTGCCTTTCAAATTTGAGGGGGAAACATGGATTTCAATATATGATATTGAAACAACTGGATAGTTTTCTGGAGAATAAAAATAACTTGAGTTGCTATTACATTCTTTATAGAAAGAAACATGTTATATGAATCCGAGAGTTAAATGTGAAAAGTAAAACCATAGAAGTATTATAAATTATTGTAACAGAACATTTTGTAATACCTCAGAGAAAGGAAGGAAATTTTAACCAACACAAAAAATTCAGATGTAAAATAACATATCGATAAATTTGAAAATAAAGTTCTTTAAAATTCTGTGTTAAAAAAATACCCTCCCCCCAAATCAATAAGCCAATATGACAGTGGGAAAATTTCTTTAATTTATAAAGAATTCTTTAACACTAACTTATGAAAATTGGCAAAGGAAATACACATCTAGTTTGGAGGGAAATATATAGAGAGATATACATACATACACCTATACACACAAATGCTTTTTAAGCATGTGAGAAGATGCCTAATCTCAAACCCTAAATAAATTAAAATTTTAAAAACAACAGAAAAACACCATTTATCTAAAAAATTAGCAAAGACTTGAAAGTGTAATATTTAGGGCTGACAACCTCTAAGGTTGTAAGACCAAAGTTCTCAACCTCAGTTGATGGGCTGTCAGCTGGGGCTACAGCCCTCAGCTCCTTGAAGCCGCTCACATTCCTTCTCATGAGGCCCCTTCACTCACTTCTAGCCTCAAAGCAGCAATGGCACAAGTCCTCAGGCTTTGAATCACTTTTTCTTCCTCTTCTGCTTTCCTCTTGTCTCCATTCATGGATCTTTGGCCCACCTAAATAACCCAGTATAATCTCCTATTTTAATGTCAATTGCTTAGTAATCTTAATTATATCTGCAAAGCTTCTCTTCTTTCCATGTAACATTCACAGGCATGATAACTTGACATGTTTAGTTTCTGGGAATTAGGATAAGACATCTTTGGTGAGGCATTTTAGAAATTCTGCCTACCACAGACCATATGCGCCGAAAATATTTATTGCATTATTCTTTTTCATGTCAGGGAGGAAGAAATAATAAAAATAGAAAACAACCTAAATGTCTGTCAGTATACAGGGGGGCTGCTTAAATAAATTATGATATATTTATATAGCAGAATACTATGTAAATATTAAATAAATAATAGAATGCTGTATATACTAACATAAGAAATCTCCAAGATCAATTGTTAAGTAAAAAAGCAAGGCCTATGATAGGGTACATAGTATGCTAGTGTTGTTTTTTTCCATTTATTTTTATTAGTTGGAGGCTTATTACTTTACAATACTGTAGTGGTTTTTGCCATACATTGACATGAATCAGCTAGTTTTTGTATTTCTAAAGGGGTTATGTATCTGAAAAATACCTTGGATATTGATCAATGTAATTGTCTTTAGGGTGGGATAAGGAAGACTGGAGACTTGGATGTCAATTTTCACTTGTGCTATTTAAATTTTACCATGAGTATGTATTACTTTTTTTAAAAACTGAAAATAAATGAAATTCTACAAATTACTTTTACAGAAAATATGAAATTGCTCTGGTTTACAAGGATAGAAAATGGGGCAGTCAGTAAGTCCCTTACAGACAGGTTATTCTAATATTCTTCTTATACTTTGAACATTAGTAGAGAAAATTGCCTACCTCTGGAGAAAGGATTGATGTAAAACACAGAAGATAGCATGGAGACAATCCTTTCTCCCTGATCCAGAAGCTTATTCTGTGAGTTTGTGGTATCCATACAATTTTAAATACAATTCCTGACTGCAGAAGTTATATAGAAAATGTAAGAAAAGACCTGGCTCAGTGGCTACATGACAAAGTCTTCTGGTGCCTCAAGAGGAACTTAGAAAGGAGGCAAATCTGAGGCCAGCTCCTTGGCAGTCAGACACTGAGCCCAGAGCTAGACAGACATGCCAAAGATATCCCCTTTTTCGTAAGTATTCTCCACAATAGCAAGCACAATTAAATGTGGAACTAATTCTTAGTTATATTTTCTTGAGTGCCTTGTTGTTGAGTTCCTGAGATACAGCTATCTCTTTACTTTAAAAATAATGCCTTCATAAACGATTTTGCTCTTTTAGGAGATAAAATTATCACACTCTTTCTACCACAGTGTGGAGAATGCACCTCTTGCCTTAATTCTGCAGGCAATTTTTGTATAAAATTCAAGTAAGTTTTTAAAAAGTTTTTTGAAAAATTAATTCGATTTGTTTAAGGGGAATCTAAACTTTCTAATTCCAAATAAATGTTTTTTGTTTGCTTTTGTCTATAAAAGACAGGGAGAAACCCACCTGATGTCTGATGGTACCAGTAGGTTTACCTGCAAGGGGAAACCAGTATACCACTTTGGGAATACAAGCACTTTCTCTGAATACACTGTAATGAATGAAATCTCAGTCACCAAGATTGATGCAGCTGCACCCCTGGAGAAAGTATTCCTAGTTAGCTGTGGTTTTTCTACTGGGTATGGTGGTGCAATCAATACTGCCAAGGTGAGAAGTATTTATATCCATTATGAATGTAATTGTTGACACGTGGAGTTGGAAGGCCTTAGGTATCTGGGCCATGTCTGATCACATAGCCTGAGACAGACTTGCAAACCTGCCTCAAAACATCCTCGAGTTCTTTATTATTGTCTAGTCACCTATACTCCCTTGCACATATTTTCCATTCCCTCTTGGTCAGTAGTATGCGGTAAATTAAGTCTAGATGCCATTCACAAGCGGAGACATCAGGAATTCCTGGGAGTTAAACATAATACAGTTTTAAAATGACTATGTATCCTTCCACATTCCAGTTAATTTTTTTTTTCTTTCAACATACATTTATGGGGCCATTCCAGGTGCTGGGATTCAACAGCTAAAAGTGCCCATTGAGCTTCAATTCTGTTACATTGAACTATCACAGATGGTGATAAGTTCCTATAAAAACAAAAGGGAAGTAAAAAGACCAATTGATGGAGAAGATGTTGGTATATAAAACAGACTAGTCAGGTAATCCCACTCTGGTTGAGTGGGTTACTGCTTTGTTTGATTTTTGTTTGTTTGTTTTTCTTTTTGGTGGTGCCACGTTGACTTGCAGGATCTCAGTTTCCTAACAAGGGACTGAATACAAGCCATAGCAGTGAAAGCCTGGAATCCTAACCACTAGGCTACTGGAGAACTCTAGAGTAGGTTACTGTTAAATGACAGTTTCTGGAATATCACCCAAACCTGCCTAACTTCTTTATTTAAGTGGTTAATAAATTTCCTTTTTAAATTTTTTTTCCTTTGGTATTTCTTATTTTGTATTGGCGTATAGCCGATTAACAATGCTGTGATAGTTTTAGGTGAACAGCAAAGGCACTCAGCCATGTATCCATTCTCCCCCAAGTCCTTCTCCCATACAGGCTGAAGCACCAAGTGAATTTTAGTTCTTTATTTTTTCCAATCTCCATTAGTCCCCATACTATCCAGAGACTTAGGATGGGGTTCAATTTAAATTAGTCTCATTTTAGATGCAATAAAAAATAAGTCTTTACCTTTGTAAGGCACTGACATTGTAAGTGAAGCAAAGTTTATGGATATCCAAAAGAAAAGAGAAAGGGAATGTTGCAAGAAGGTGGAAAACTCAAAAATATATGAAATTAAATACTCTGTTAAATAACTCTTAAGAGTCCATTAAAGTTCATTAAACTTCTTCTACTTATTCCTGAGACTTAAAATTCTTTTTACAGGTTAGTTTTTGCTCCTCTGTGAAAAAGTATCCCATATCTAGAAATATGTTGAGAAACTAAAACTCTCTAGTCATATGTTTTATTTGAAAATGGCCTTTGTTTATGTCTCATAAAAAAATACATTCAGATCTTGTCTGTCCAATTAAGTAACAATGTATGTTCCCTTTGCTCTTTTTTTCTGCCTTTGGGTATGCAGGTGACCCCAGGCTCCACCTGTGCCGTGTTTGGCCTGGGAGGAGTTGGCCTGTCTGTTATCATGGGCTGCAAAGCAGCTGGAGCAGCCAGGATCATTGCAGTGGACGTCAATAAAGACAAATTTGAGAAGGCAAAGGAAGTCGGTGCCACTGAGTGCATAAACCCACAGGACTATGAGAAACCCATCCAAGAAGTTTTGTTTGACCTGACAGGTGATGGTGTGGACTTTAGCTTTGAGGTCATTGGAAATCCAGAAACTGTGGTATGTGATTCCCAGTTGTGAAAATAACCAATATTTCTACCAGCCGTTATTTTTTTTTAGGCTTTATTTATTTATTGGCTGTGGTGGGTCTTCATTGCTGCACATAGGGCTTCCTCTAGTTGTGGTGAGTGAGGGCTACTCTTTATTGTGGTGCACGGGCTTCTCATTTCCATGGGTTTTCTCTTGTGGAGCACAGGCTCCAGGCGCCCCGGCTTCAATAGTTGTAGTGCATGGGCTGAAGTTGTGGCACATGAGATTAGTCGCGCCACAGCATGTGGGATCTTCCCTGACCAGGTGTTGAATCTGTGCCCCCTGCATTGGAAGGCAGATTCTTATCGATTGGACCATGAGGGAAGCACCCACTCTTTATTTTAGATTTTTAACTGAGTGAAAATTCTAAAATTCCCTCCACAATCTTCTGTTTAATTCTCTTTGTGCCCCTGACATCCCACCTGGGACCTTCTGTCTACTCATAAATCTATTCACTATCCCAAACACTGAACTCCCATACTGAGTTTTCTTCTCCCTCTGTTCCATTATATCAATACTATTCCTGCAAATAAGCAGACAGCCTACAATAGACAGGGGGAAAAAAGCTTTGTAAGGAATTCTCACTGAATTATTTCATAATAAGGAGCTGCTTAGTAACTATAACTTCCAAGCCAGAAGATCTAAGTGTGATAAGAATAATTAACGACCCTGCAAAGCTCTACACTTTCAGCAGTCTTTCATGTTGGATCTGAGATAATCATCCAAGAAACATTATTTGCCAACCTTGATTAAAAGAGTTCAAGAATGAAGGAAAAAACCAGTAATTTTTCTGGCTGAATATGGTTTATGTAAGAATATAAATTGGTAGGAAATTATTTCACAATTTGAGACTGTCTTTCTTTGGGACTGTAGAAATAGCATACTATTGGGTTGCATATCTCCATCTTCTAATCAGCTCCATGAAAACCTGCGATCTGTCTCTTCCAACTGAGGCCCTTTCCTCAGCTTACAAAATGTTTCCATTCCTCACTGCACATAAATCCCCTCCTCTGTAAAATGATATAACAAAATCTTTGTCACAGGTTTTCCTGTAGATAGTCTTGCTCCAAAAAATAGCGTTTGAAAATAAATAATGGGAACATGTTTATTTATAACTTTGCTAATATATGATGCTATACAAATAGCCAACTATATTTTTCAGTATCTGAAAGAATATGCTAAGTTGCTTCACTCATGTCTGACTCTTTGCAACCCCACAGACTATAGCCCGCCAGGCTCCTCTGTGCATGGAATTCTCCAGGCAAAAATACTGGGGTGGGTTGCCATTCCCTTCTCTAGGGGATCTTCCCAACCCAGGGATTGAACCCTCATCTCTAACATCTCCTGCATTGGCAGAAGGGTTCTTTATCACTAGGGCTACCTGGGAAGCCCTATGAATATGTCAGCTCTAACTAACCACCAGTGTCAGTAATGGTTCTTATAAAAATTATTACTATCATTATTATTATTACTACTACCATGGGTGCCTTTATTTTCATTTTTTGATTTTCATCTATTACACCAGATATTATACTCTGTAGCACCCAATGTCTTATTTATGTTTCAGCGCATTCTTAAAAGATAAATGTTATTTCAAATGAGGACAAGGAGCATCAGAAAAGCAAGTCACAGACCACTGAGAAGAGTCAAGCTGAGATTCAGACTTAGGTCCAACTCTCAAGCACACCTTTTAACCTCCTCGTTGTTTTACATTGCTTTACAATAGGCAGCTGCCCTGGCATCCTGCCATGAGAGCCACGGGGTCTGCGTGATTATCGGGTTGGTCGTTGGTGTCCAACTCAACATCAGTGGCCACTTGTTCTTCTCAGGACGTACTTTAAAGGGATCTGTTTATGGAGGTATGAATGATTCAGGGAAGAATGGAAATGTGTGGGATTATAGAGGAGGGAAGTAAAGAAATGTGTAATGAATGCTTGAATGAGAGCTTTAGATTATAGTTCTTGTTTCGACACACAAGATAAGGGGATGAATATTGATGTATGCAGTTGCTTCTTAGTAATTTTGTTCTCATGCAAAGGAAGAGATTTTTTTTTAATTGATTAGTGTCCAAAGTTTAATGCAAATTCTAAATCAAAAAGGAAAGGCAATACTGTGATCAATAACTGTATTCAATTCAGTTATACGATGGCCAACTGGAATTCTTTGGAGAATATACTGAATTATTAGTAAATGGTTCAACTAATGTTGAATCTTACCCAAAACAATTGAGTTGGCATTGTACAACTCAAAGACATTAAACATAATGAACTCATGATTGAAAAGAGAAATGACCAATAAAAGTGAAAAAAAAATTTTCATAGAATCCCTTGGTTTTCCATTTTTTAAACCTGTGTTAGAACTTATATATTTTAAAGACTTTAGAAGAGTTTTCTTACTGAGGAAGTAGAAAGCAAACTAAAATAAATCTGTGTAGGATTCTAGGCTCATAAGCAAGCAAACTGATACTTAAGAGAAATATGCTTATCCAGAGCTTTGGGGGAAATTTGAATTCTTGGGCAAAAGAGATGAGAACCAGGAGCTATCTGAATTTTGGGGACTGGTGATCCATTTGTGTTCTCCCAACTACTTATGGCAGTGTACTGTAGATATCAGGAATCTTACCAAATTCATGGGCGTAGAGAAGATAAATGGCATGGCCAGTCAAAAAAAGTAATAAATCAGTTTAATTATCAGTTCCCCCATTTGGGATAATTAGACATATCCATTGCTATTTTCCTCTAGAGACAATATTTCCCTCAGAGAATTGTTGATACCAAAAACACATACTCAGTTAACTCTTGTAAAATAGGATCACTAATATTTCAAACAAAACTCACAAGGAAAATATTTTGCTCGACACCTATGCATTCATATAATGGTCATGAACGTAAGTTAATCCCTTCTATAGATAGTATAATCCACTGGTTTCAGAGGTTTTCAGTTAAAGGATAGCCTCTAATGACAGGACTGCTAAACCTTCTATAACGTACACAGTGAAAAAATTCACCCCCCTAAAATTAGTGGCCTTGTTCAGAAACACTATCTAGCCTAGTTCTATGTTTTTGGACCCATCTTTTTTGTTTGTTTGGTTGGTTGGTTAAAAGAAGAAACAAAGAACAAAGTGGAATCGTTCTTTACATAGATATAAAAATGCTTTATCAGATCACCAATCAACAGGTAGAAAAGACATCAAAAGTTATCACAAGAAAAAATGGTAACTGTGTGGTGATGGATGTTAACTAAACTTAGTTTAATAGTAATCATTTCATAATCATTATATTATGCATATAAAACAAATGTTACATATTAATTACACTTCAACTTTTTAAACGATAAATAGAAAAACACACCATGCCTCATGTCCTCACACAGAGCATCAGTTAGAATTCTTGATTACAAATAATTAAAACCAACTTAAACAGAAAATAAATGTATTGGAAGTGTTTTAGATTGTGTTGAGAATAGTTTGGGGAAGGCTGGAGAAACTGGCTGGGGCTGGAACCAAGAAAAGCAAGTAACTGCCAAGACCTTGTCACAGAACCACCTGCTTAGGGCACTGTTGCCTACCTTGCAAAATCACACACTCACCCTTTGCAGAAATGAGCAGACCACCAAATTCTGTGTGGTGGCTCACTGGGCACGTTGCTCAGCACAGTGCTAAACATGAAGACAATGTTTCTTGAGAATCACAAGTAAAATAAATAAATTAATTAATTTAAAAAAAAGAATCACAAGAACAGAGAAAATACAATGCTAAGTTTTATATTATATTAACTGATCCCATCTTTTCCTGTGCTATGTTACTTCCTGAAGGCACATTTTATTCTTATCTCGCTTTATAAACATTCATTTTTCAAAAGCTGTCACTGAGCACTGCCATGGTGAAAGTTCTTCTCTTCCCTGAAAATATTTGGCTCTTTCATGAAGCTGCAGATCAACAAACACACACACACACACACACACACACAAAGCACCTCTAAGAAGAGGTCCACATTCTAGTTGCTGTAAACAAATACTCTTCTGCAGGCCCAGAGGTCTCCTCCAGGATAATAGCCTTCCACACAAAGTTTATGGCTGGAACAGGCATTCATTCTCCTGATGGTCCAGACAAGTTAGCAGGAAATCCTTGTATTTCCTCAAAGCTAACACCTCCAGCAACAAATTGTAGGGCTTTTCTTGTATACTGGCTCTCGTGTATAAAATCTATTGTTAATCTGTGTATTTCCAGGCTGGAAAGGCAGAGATGGTGCCTCTAAACTGGTTTCTGATTATATGGCAAAGAAGATTAACCTAGATGCACTAATTACCCATACTCTGAATTTTGACAAAATCAATGAAGCAGTTGAATTAATGAAAACTGGAAAATGGCAAGTGACTCACATAATTTTTATGTCTGAGTGTTTGGGGCCAAGAGAAAGGGTGTGTGGAGGTGGGGGAGGCAATGGGAGGGACATCATGGCTGGAGAAGTCACATACAGGCAACTGAAGGAGGTTTCAGGAATTTGCAAATAATCTCCTTCCTTTATATATTTTGTTTTATTACCGCTTTATAAAATACATAATTCTTAAAATACTTAAATGATCACCTACCCTTACCACTAGAATTTTATTTCCAATTTGGTATTGCTTTAAATGCACATTAACTTACTGAAGTTAGCTCATAAAATTCTAGCCCAAATTTAAGTTCATAATTTATAAAAAAGACAGTTATTATTTTTGTTGTTCTATTTCAAAGGAGAAATTATCTCTGGAATTCTAAATTCTAGCACCTATCTTTGGCCCACAAACTAGACACTAGCCATAAACTGAGCATTAGTATTCCCCAAGAGAGTATAAGCCTACTTACATATTCCTTACTCTTGGGGTTTCACATCATTTTGAAAAATCTCATAACTGATTTAATCTGCCTATTTTCACCTAAATTTAAGGAAAGGGAATCCAATTTATTCATTGGTATACAAAGTTAAATTTTGAAATTCAAATCATAAATGTTGCTTTAGAAACATTTCAACTTTTTTTTCCTTTCCTTTCTTTTCAGTGTCCGCTGTGTCCTGTTACTTTAAGTATGATCCTCACCAACTAAATACCATTTGCAGAATTTCATGATGTGGAAGAATTATCCACACAACGTTGTTTCTACTTGCTTGCCTCTGACTCGTTTACCAATGGGCTCATATACAGCTTCTGCTGTCACCGCTTCATCACCATTATTCTTATGTGACCAAGAGTCACCCAGGAACATCCTCGCTTTTAGAGCTAGATTAAGGTTGATTTGAATCACCCAATCCCAGACCCTTCAAATAAACAAGACTCACCCAGGATACTCCCATTTCATAGTTTTCTCTATGTCTGAGCCCATGTTTCCTTGCACACTGTCTTTCTTCCACATCAAGTTCTGCCTTATTTCACAGCAAAGAAACAAAACTCACCATTCATGAGCTTATTGTACATTCAGTAAGCCACAAGTTCCACGAAATCTGTACCTCCCAAGAAGTCCTCAGCCAATGACTGACAAAAGTTGCTAGAAAACACACAGTCCACAGAATATCACTGTAAGATTAAACTCCAATTGTCCACTTTGATAGTCGGCTTTAAAAACACACTCTTACATCCATATGCCTAGCAGCATTATTCATAATAGCCAAAAAGTGGAGGCAATCCAAGTGCCCATCAACAGATGATGGATAAAAAAAATTGTGCACGTACACATAATGGAATTATATTCACCCCTAAAAGGAAAGAAACTCTGACACATGGGTGATAACATGGATGAAACTTGAAGACATTATGCTAAGTGAAAAAAAATCAGTTATGCAAGTACAATTGTGAGCTGGACCCCATTGTAAAATGGACCCCAATGATCCCCACCTTCTGGTATTCACGCCCTTGTGTGATCCCCTCTCCTTAAATGTGGGTTGGACTTAATGACTCAATTTTCACAGCAGAAATGATGAGATATCATTTCTGAAATGGAGTTCTATTCCATCTGGGGAGTGTCTCTCTTCGATTGCTTGTTCTGGGAGAAGCCAGCAGGTACATCAAGAAGCAGCCTGAGGAGAGGGCCTGAGCTTAGAAATGGATCTTCTGAGGCCTGTGAACGACTATGTAAGTGAAACTGGAAGAACATTCTTTCTGAGCCAAGCTTTGAGATGACCAGCCCTGGCCATTACCTCAATTACAGCTTTGTGAGAAACCCTGAACCAAACCACTCAGCTCAGCTGTTCCCTGATTCCTGACTAATAGACACTTTGAGAACACAAATGCTTGTTTTAAAGCACTAAGCAACAGATAACTAATATACTGGTAGTAAGTGAGACAGACAGAGAAGGCAATGGCACCCCACTCCAGTACTCTTGCATGAAAAATCCCATGAATGGAGGAGCCTGGTAGGCTGTGGTCCATGGGGTCACGAAGCGTCAGACATGACTGAGCGACTTCACTTTCACTTTTCACTTTCATGCATTGGAGAAGGAAAGGGCAACCCACTCCAGTGTTCTTGCCTGGAGAATCCCAGGGATGGGGGAGCCTGGTGGGCTGCTGTCTGTGGGGTCGCATAGAGTCGGACACGACTGAAGTGACTTAGCAGCAGCAGCAGCAAGTGAGATAGAGTCTCTCTTGGCATGCTCTTGGGATAAAATTACTATGAGTCTCCTGTGATTACTTTGGATGGGATACAGATTATCGGATATGTGCTGCCTTGTGCAGTATGATTAGCACTTGAGAGATAAGATGGTAATGATAATTATGAGGACTGTGGATCTGGTTATTAAGTGTCATCAGTACACTGAAGGAAAAAAATGATAGGCTTGAGTCAGACAACAATCAACCAAAGAGTATGACTAACAACCATAAGACTTCTATAACAGCATTTAAATGTCCCCTTATCTCCTACAACTAGAAGACAAATTGGGCTGAAAAATCAGGCCAATGATTTAATTATGATATTAGCAAAATTGCAGAAGTTTTCATCTATAAATCTGTCACTAAAACCAGGGCAATGATAGGAAAGGGGTGATATCTTAAAACTGAACGGGACTATCTTAACTTTGAACTGTAGATTCTCCTAAATGCTATAGGTCTAAAGAAGGGTGCCACTCCCCCTTGCCACAGGTAGTAGCCTCTCCTTGCCTGGAGACCACAAGAGCCTTTCTAAGGTAAATGCCTCGTAAAATGATGCTTGCCTCCTTAAAGATATACCTTTACTTCTCCTCAAGATTTCTAGGCCAATAAATGCATTCAAATCTCAGTTTGACTAGGGAAATAGTTTATTTTTTTAAAAACACTACAAAATCTGGCTCATGTGTATTAGCAAGAATTAGAAAAACATGTTGAAATCAATCATAAGCATTCTAAACCAGAGACTATAAGGGAGAGATTGTTGGAATAGGAGCAGTCTCTTATAACTCATGATTTAATCCCTGAGAAGGACATCTGGAGTCAGTTCTGTGCTAGTGGAATGGCTCCTCAAAGCTTGGAGGAAAAATAAGGCCTTACAATAAATGAAATGAAGATATCATAAATGCTTTGGAAGAAGCCAGCAGGTTTAGAAAGGAGTGATGTCAGCATCATGTGAGCATGAAACACTCCCTTCGTCTCTCCCCTTCAGTCTACAACCAGTAAAACATCCATAACTCAACAAAAGTCCCTCTGCCCAACTCACGAGGATGTCAGAGATTTCCACATCTGTACATCTAAAAGTCAGTAGGCTGGAACACATAGAGGAGGCGGAACTGAAGAAACCGTGGAGGCAGTCCCTGTGATCCCAGCTCACCAGCTGTGGTGGCTCAGCCTGCAGCCACAGGGAACCTGGAGGCAGCAGGAGAGGTGACACAGACGACCCCAGTCTTCTGGCTACGCAGCAGTGGCCTGCGATTCTGTCCCTGAAAGCACCCATGACTCCAGCTCACTGTCATCCACAATGGCAGCTCCTGGGAACTCCAAAAGCACAGATGCAACAGAGGGACCTCAAACCTTAGCTCTTCCTCCCACCCTACTTCTCTCCCTGTGGTGGCGACTCAGGTGATCCCAGATGTGGTGGAGGCCCCAAACAGTCCAGTGCCCCAGGCAGGGATGCCAGTGACACCAGCAACCCCAAAGGCATAAGCAGTATCAACAAGGGTACTGGGCTGCTGTGGGACAATGCAGAGTGGGAATCTCTCAAATATAGCCAGAGGCAGCTTATGTAAGAAAAATCAAAAAGTTGAACTATATTGCCACCCATAGAGTTATATTTCATAAACATAAATCTGTTTTGTTGGTTTTAAAAAAAGGCCTTTAAGTACAATTTATCGAATTATTAGATTCAAGTTAAAAAAATTAAAAAGCTTAAAGATGTTTGCTACTTCAAATGCACCCACAGAGGGACATCCCATCAAGCACCATGAAAAACCATGATAACATGAAATCACAAAAAGAAATTAATAAGTCTCCAAAAATCAAACTTAGAGTCAGTGAATACTGTGATCTAACTGATAGAAATTTCAAAATAGCTGTCATGAAAAAACTCAATTAGCTATAAGAAAACTCAGAAAGGAAGTTCAGTGATCTCAGGAATAAAATTAATAAATAGAAGGAATACTTTTCCAAAGAGATTCGAGCTCTCAAATAAAGAACCAAATAAAATTTGGAACCAAAGAACTCAATAAATGAGATGAAGACTGCATTAGAAGCACTAAAAATAAAGAAGACCATATGTAAGAGAGAATCAGTGACCATGAAGATAGAAACCAAGAAGTGATACAGGTAAAAAAGGAGCAAGAACAAACATCTTTTTAAAATGAAAAAATAATATGAAAGCTATCTGGCTCCATTAGGAAGGGCAATATAATAATAATGGGCATCCAAGGAGGAAAAGAGAGGGAGAGTTTATTTAAAGAAACAGTAGCTGTAACTTCCCAAACCTGAGGAAGGAACTAGGTAAACAAATCCACAGAGCTAAGAGAACACCGAATTACCCCAATGCAAAAAGAAATTCTCCAAAACACAATATATTAAAACTGTCAAAATTTAATGACAGGGAAGGATTTTAAAGGCAGTCAAGGAGAAAAGGACAGTGACTTATAAAGGAACCTCAGTAGGCTACAACAGATGTCTCCACAGCAAATCTACAGGCCAGCAGAGAGTAGAATGAGACACTCAAAATATTGAAAGATAAAATATCAGCCAAGAACACTCTATTCAGCAAAGTCACCTTCAACATACGAAAGAGAAATAAAGACTTCCTCAGATAAACAAAAGCTGAGGGATTTCATTACCACTAAAACTGCCTTATAGGAAATGTTGAATGGAGTTCCTGTGACTCTTTGAAAAGGCAAGTATAGCAAACTTTGTGTAAGGTGCTAAATAGACAAAAGGAATCAGAAAATTGCAACTCTATATCAGAATAAGTTGTTAAACAATTACAGCATAAATGTTAAAGGGGGGAAAGCCATAAAAATAACTGTAACTACTTCAATCTGGTAACCAACTCATACTATAAAAAGGGATAATTTGAGACAACCTAAACATAAAAGGGAAAGAAGGAAAGGATGGAGCCTGTATAGACAAGTGAAGATGAGATGTTATCAGCAGAAAAAGGACTATTTTCTCTGTGAGATGTTTTGTACAAACCTCATGGTAACCACAAAATGTAAATCTAGAACAGAGACATGAAACATTTATAAAAAGAGGAAACCGAGAAAAATACCATAGGAAAGCACCAAACTAAAAGATCATACAGAAACACAAGGAAATAGAGATAAAGAACAACTAGAAAACAAAAGATAAAACGACAGTACCAAGTCCCCATTTATCAATAATCACCCTAAATGTAAAATGATTGAATTCATTAATCAAAAGATACAGAGTGGCCAGATTGTTTGCTCTTGCTTTTGCATCTTGTGCCTTGGAAGACTAATCTAGGAAAATATTGCTACAATTTATGTCAGAGAATGTTTTGCCTATGTTCTCTTCTAGGAGTTTTAGGATGTCATGTCTTATACTTAGGTGTTTAAAACATTTTGAACTTATTTTTGTATATGGGTGAGTGAATGTTCTAATTTCACTGATGTATATGTATCTGTCT